AATCATGGAAGAGAATAACTTACATCATGATGATTCGTGCCAGCCATCAAAATAAGGATATGACTGCTGCCCAATGCTCCCTGAACACAGTAGAAACAATCAGGCATGAACTAGAGACTTGCAATGGTGACTACGAGGATGTAGCAAGAAGAAAGATCCCTAGCAGACCATCTGATTGCATTTGTACAGCAGAATTCCTCGCAAATCTGCAGGAACAGGTGTTGAAGAACCCTGGCATCGGAATTCAGGCTTTTTGTCACGTGAAATGAATGTTGCAGCCTCTACTATAAAGTTTGCACTCAATGAAGACCTTCGCTACTACTCATACAAGCGGATTTTCTTTTTTCTTACGAAACTGTCAAATTTATCCCGAACACCCTGTACTTCTTAACCAACACGCATCACAAAATCTTTACCCATCATTCAAATTCATCACAATCACGCAACCAATAACATTATAATAGGATTTTTGTGACATCCAGTTACTCAGGTTACCATAAATGAAACAACAACTTCACAATAATACAAGGGGCACCCTTAAATCTACCCTAACCCAAGAATTCTGTTGTCATTCCTTTCTTTGCATCAATCAGCTTCTATCAATAAAATTCCAAGTTCCATACTTAAGAACCCCATTGCAGATATGAAGTCCTCAGATATTTACAGGATTCCTTGCCAATGTGGTTTAATTTACACTGTTCAAACTACAAAAGCTTTAAAATTTCATATTAAAGAACATGAGACATATGTTAGGAAAAAAGGAAACACAAAAATATTTTGTTGCCCAGCACTGTTGATCGGAGAAATCACACTTTCCCTTTTTCTGCAGCCAGATTCATTTGAAAAACATCTTCCATTGGTGAATTAGATATTCTAAAGGTGGTTCACAATCAAAAAAATATTTCTTTCTTAGTTAGCAACCCTAATTCCAATTCATCTTTACCCTTTGCCTTTAAGGAAATTATGCTTTAATTTTCTTTTTTCATCAATAGGTAGTGCAGTTGCTTGACTTCATTCCAATTATTCTTATTACTATATTTCGTCTCATTCATTTGCACTTAGGCAGCTGAAGAAAATTTTGAATCCTATGAAGCATGTTTGAAATGCCTTTAGGAAGACATATAGCTGCTCTCAAAACTCTTCAAACACTTGCCATGCTTGTAAATGTTTAACAGGTGCAAAGGCTCTTACTTCCTACAGAAGAACTGAGAGACTGCATAATTGACAGCATTGCACACCTCTGTATGTGTTGTAGTATTGCTTCTAGGAGAGATCATAATTCGGCTAGCAGATTGTTAAAAAAAATGTTTAGTTTAAAAAAAAAAGCCTTTACTTCGTGAAAACAAAATGGTATCCAAAAAAATACTAGCAGGTTGCTGTAGCAGGGTTGGTCGCCAAATTTTCGCCAAAAAATCACCAAGTTACCACACTCCATACTGAAGTTAATTTTCCTGTACCATACTCACACATCTGATTTGTTCATTTCATACATATGCTAATTTCCATAACATCATAATTGCCTGGCAATTGCTTCTCAAGTTACTTTATACCTTACTATGTGTTGTATACTGTGGGTCAGTTCCATTACATTCCATACGTAACTTTTTGAAAAATCATTATTTTTATGATTTTTCCTTAATCAATGTTAACTGGTTTAGTTATAATAAAATTGCTAACTATTTTGTAAAAGTTTTTCTAGTAAATCTACATAAATATAAGCTTGAATTCTGTCTAATTTTATATTACTAATCGGTGAGATTTTATTCCAAAAATTAAACTTTATTACACATAGAAAGTTAGATGATAATAAATAAGACTTTTCTGGGCCACTGAAATCGAAAAACCTGAAATTCCCAAAATAAAGTTGCTGCAAGAATAAGATTTTGAATTAATTTAATATATATAAAACAATTAGCCCATCAGAATTATTACACTGAGGATAAAACAGAGGAGTTAAAAACAGTGCATTTGGAAAATAAACAAAATGATATATAAGCAGAAAAATTAAGGTTAGTAATAAGATATAAAAAGTCTTTATAACAATCAATAAACGTTACCTATAAGCTTTCTTAGACAAGCAAAATCAAAAATTCAATGAAACAAGACAATTCATATAAGTAAGAAAGTAACAATTCTATATGTATAATTCTAAGGGGAAGCACTTCCGCAGAGAACCCGGTAAATGTAAACATCGCCAACTTTGGCGATAATAGTTCAAACTTGGTAACCCATCAGATTTATCCTATTCGCTTGTTCGAAGTTTGCAACCATTCCTCTTGCGTGTATTTTGTTGAATTAACACTGTCGTTGTTCGCATTTGCAGATTTATATTATTCTCCTCTTATTTATTATTATTTTTTCTGAATTTTTAACAACGAATAGATAGAATAGAAATATTTTCGTAGATAGATGCCGGTTCTCGGTTCGGGATGAATGCTAATTTGTAACACGGCTGTTCACGTTGTGTTCTTACTTATTAACAGCTCTAAGAACCATGAGGTTTCCAAAGTCTAAAATAATTTGATTTCGTAGACCGCAAAAATGCGCATGTGCATTTAAAATACTTAAGTAATGCTTTTATTTTTATTATTGCTTATTGTCATCTAAAATTATGAGAATAAATCAATTTTTATGGCGTAAAATTTTAACAAGATAATATATTGTTAATGCTTTTCTAACAATAACCCGGTAAAATCCTAGTATACGGTGCAACCGCAAAAATGCGCATGTGCATTTTAAATACTTAAGTAATGCTTTTATTTTTATTATTGCTTATTGTCACCTAAAATTATGAGAATAAATCAATTTTTATGGCGTAAAATTTTAACAAGATAATATATTGTTAATGCTTTTCTAACAATAACCGGTAAAATCCTAGTACACGGTGCAGCCTTGGCGCGATTTTGAAAATTATTGCCAACACCAAAAATGATCCAAAGAACGTCTATATACTATACACTATGTGTGAAAATACATGGTAAAAGTTTACAATTGGGTGCCCCTTGTTTTTTGGAGATTCTTTTTTGACGGCAAGATCGGCGTCAGGAAGACACAATTTCAAGATGGCCGCTACACAAAACCAAAATAAAAAGTCAAAGAATTTCATAAATTGTGTGTCCATGTACACATCGATCTGTTTTCACTTAAAAAAACATCCCAGAATTGCACAAACTAGGCATTGCGCACTGTCCATGTACACATCAATCTGTTTTTATTTTAAAAAAAATCAGGATGCTAAAGCAAAGTTACACTATCATGGTAACCAGAAATACGATTTCCTCGCCAAAATTTTACAAAAAACTGTCGCTAATCGAAGGGGCACCCAATTCTACACTAGAGCCAAATACATAATATATACTATATATAACTATATATATTTTTTGAATGACCAGTTTACTACTCATCGTTTATGTCCCGTTTTTACTGCTCATCATAAAGTCGCCAAAAGCAGCCAAATCCCGTGTGCACCGGATACTAGGATTAAACCCAATAACCTTTCAGAGGATGGCAGGTGTGACATAAATAGATGATTAAATTGAAATAAAAAAAATTATTGATTATCTAAGATGACAGAATAGTTTGATGCATCACCATGGTCATCAAAATTAGCAAATCACTGCTGGTGTAAGGAATATATTGTTTTCTGTATTAACTGGAATTACGCTTAATAATATATTCCTTTCTGTGCTAACTTGAATTTAATACAAATTTATTTTCGTATATCACGTTTAACCGTTTAGTTTTACATCTACATGCATATTATCTGTGAATTTTTACTACCATATGCTTAATATATTGTTTTATCTGCTAACTTGAATTTACATGCACTAAAAATAACGTTTACGGCTCGGCTCATCGTCGATGAACAGCGAGCTTGGCGAGTAAGAATGCAACGGCGCCAACGGGTTCTTTCCCGAAGCGCCAACGGGTTCTCTGCGGATGAAAACCCTTCTATGGAAACAAGAATCTGTGATAAAGCAGAAAAATTAATACTACCTGAAAAATAAATTTTTGTCTAAACTTTAAAACTACCTCAAGAAATCATGTTTCATGCCTTGAATATTGAGGGAATAACCCTTCATTTATTTAATTCTTTTTGTCACTTCAATTTTTATTTATTTATATTTATTAATTTCTACAGGAAGTTTATAAAATTTTGTATTTTTTTTTTCACTGAACACATACATTTGATAAATTACTATCAACCATCGTTTTATTGATAACCAGATGAATTATTTATATTGCCAATAAATTACAATAAAATACATACTGCTATGACTAACACACATTAGTCATTATTTACGTACATTAATGAAATTTTTAATACAAAGTGTCCCCTTCTTCGTCAGTTAAAAGGCAATTGCATAACTGACATAACCATGTACTTACGGAAAATTTTCAATATGAGAAAATTAAAATGTTGTGATAATCGAATGCATAATATTTACACAAAATATGGTTACTTAATTAGTTAAATCACTTCACAGCATTTTGAGTCGGCTGAGTTTTTGCAGCGGGTTCTCTAGGAGGAAATTACCTCATATTTACAGGACATATCGAGAAGAGAAGCCATAAAGCACCCCGGAAAGCCATCTCGTTCAGTTGCCGGCTGCTTAATCTGAGATAAACTACCAATATCCAGCGATTTAAACCATTCTGCCAAATTCACACAAAGAAAATACATCTAATAGATATAAAATTAATCTAATGATACATGAAACATGGATATATAAATGTATTTCAGATAGCACATAATGCATAAATAAAATAGGTACATTTATATATCATTCTGATAATGCAACTGTAGTCTTAACACAAAAAGCCGGCATAGAATAAAAAAAATTAGAAAAAAAAAAGTACTCATTTAAAACATGTTCGAGATCTTTAAACATATTGAATGCAGAAATTTCAACGTAGTAAAGTAAATATGTTCTAACATACTTTCAACAATAGTTAAAAATATTATGTGAAATTTAAAAGCTAAAATTAAGCATACACACCTGACACCTGCACACAATATCGGCACTGCAAGCCAGCATGTCGACGACTTTACCTTTCCCTTCATCGCCCCATTGGGCACCTAAAACTACGGTCAAAGGACGCGACATATCTTTTCTAGGCCTTTTAGGATTAGAATGGCCGTTCGAACTCATGCTGATCTTCGGTTACCAAGAAAGAACAAAGTTCAAAATTACGTCGCCCTCAGAGATGACCTTCGCATCAAAGCGCAAGTTGGAGAATCAGACTGATTTGCTCAGAAAAATTTAGGCTCCGCCTACTCTCGTGATGTCATAGACAGGAACGATAACGATGAAATTCTGCTGTAAATCAAACGTGCTCCAATGAAGGTTATCCAACTCTTTTTCCTTGCCAAATATTTTCTTTGGAATATTCAGGACATTTATTATCAAACTTCAAAAGTAAAAGCATTACTTCTGGGAATAAAGCATCGTTGAAAACTTTCATGACAACTCCTAGCTTGTGAACGCAGAAATTTCTATCACACAAACAGATCACATTTTATTCTCGAGTGTCAAGATGTAGAAACATCTTTTTACTTGACTTCTGATAAGGATCGGGTAGGAGTAAGGCTCCTCTAAACCAGGCTGAATCACCAACTTTTCTCTCTTGACGAGGGAGTGAACGCGCTGCCAATTTTGGCGCGTTTATCGCACACGCTGGCTGAATGTCTGCTGTTTTCTTAAAGATTTATTTTATATACGCGCGGCATTCTGCGCATATAAACTTTTCGGATAATTTATTAATTCTCAAATAGTATATAGACGTCTTCACTTAAATAAAAATTTCGCGTATATTTTGTAAACATATTCAAAATAACTTATTCTTTAGATGTTTCAGTTTCGTTAGCAGACTAAAATAAATAAGATATGAATAAAAACTTTCAATAGTGTCAAATGGGGAAATAGTTAAAGCGTAGAGTAGTAGAGTGTGCAAATAAATTTATCTTAATGACATTTTAACAAAAATTTCCATAAAAACACTGTAAATTCATACTAAAAAAATAACTTAAGAATATGTTGTCATTTAAGTCTGAGGTATATGGAAATAATTGTGCAAGATTCTGAAGAAACACTTTCTTTTAAATGTGTGAAATATTTCATAACATATATGGAAGAAGAAAGTACAGCATTCTGTGTTTTGGATGCTTTTCATCAAATGTAATATAAATACGAACTAGAAACCGTAATAAAAAGTCCTTCCTCTTCAATCAGATCACCTTTGTGTTGCATTGTATTTGTAATACTTCTAAAAATCCAATTTTTACCTAAATTAAAAAAACAGTTATTCCATAAAAGATAATAACTTTGAACGTATATAGAATGAATTTTGTAATTTGAGTTATGTTACAAAATAATTCATAGTTTATATATTTTTATACTAATAATTTAGATAAAACCTGTCCAATTTAAGAATGTGTGTTAACCACATTCTTAAATTGTAAAAGGACGACTTAACCACATGTAATTCATTTCAAAGCATAAAAGAAAGCTTATTTTTTATTTTACACAGCAACAGCATTTTCATGCAGTCAAGTTTTTTTAACTGCTAGTTATTATTATACATAATACTTAATTTTAAACCCATTCTTATTAGAAAGCATAACTAAGAAACTTCTTTTTAAAGCACCACAGTGATTGCAAAGAATGTCGTTAAATTTACAAAAGTATTGAAGATATATTGAACAGCATTTATAACAAGAAAGTACTGTACAAAATATGTAAATTTAGCATAACTTCTTTTTTAGTATTTGCATAGTTTCCTCCAAATGAACCTTAATGGGAAGTTATCTTGCGAAAATTTAAAAGTATTAAAATGGCCTCTATTTAAGATGTAACTGCATTTATAATTATTTTGTAATTGCGAATAGATTATATTATTGCAATTAGATTATGCACTTACAACATAATTGCATAAAGTAATGAAATTAAGAGTTCACAGATACAATGTAATATAATTACAATGCAATTACCTAAATTGTAATTATAATCACTTATTTAATACCACAATATTATTACAATCACAATGTAATTTAAATTGGGTACTATATTTGCATACCCTCCACTCAAAAGGAGGTACTGATAAGCCTGGAAGTTATTATCAACAAAAAGCCTGTTCAGGACAGTTTGATGACAATTTCCACCGGGCGAAAAGTACATTCTTAAGCCCAGGCAAATCATGACAATAAAAATCATTTAGTCTTATGATTCACTATATTTTAAACCCTAAATTTGAATTCTGCACCAAATTATTTACCTATATTTTAACATACTTTATGAATTATTAGAAGCGATATGGCAAATATCTTCTAAAAATAACTGTAAAATATTTGTATCCATTAATTGATTCAGATACACACTTTTATTATTTAAGTATATCAAAATAACAGTTTCATGTTCCTGAAATACAAAAATTATGGAAAAAGTTAAAGTAATATTCTTAGAAGCATATGATATTAGTCACCAGATGCAAAATTATAGTTAATTTTTTGCCCTAAATACAATTTTATTACACAGTAGTCAAATGTGTAACTTAATAACATGTTATATAAAAAATTAATGATAATAAGTTTATCAGAAATGAATTAATTCTGCAAATAAACTTTCTGCACTTGAAAATTTTCTACACCTGAGGGGAGGGAGAGATCTAGTAAAATTAGATTTATTATAACTTCAGTTGGACCAAACACCCTTCTCTCTATATATATGCATCACTAAAGAAATAAATAAAATTATCATGCTTAAAAAACAGATATACCATACCAGTTTTTTTTTCCCCTTGTTACCCTTTACATTGAGAAATAACAAACAGTACAACACTGAAAAATACTATCCTTGAAATTTTGTTTAAATGAAGAAACACACACCATCTTTTTATTTAAGCATTACACTTCAAAAACAGATACACATACCAATTTATTTTCACTAGCCTTTATACTGATAACATGCCATATAAAAATGAAAAGAATTATCCTTGAAATTTAGATAAAATGAAGTAACACAATGGGAAAATTTATGCACACGGACATCTTTTTTCTATTGCATGTTGTCTGACATGATCCACAAGTGCCTAAAAATGTACCCAAAGAAACGCATTTCAATATTAACAAAAAATTGTTTACAGATTAAAATTCATTCATTTCATACCAGTATTATAAAGATCATGCATGAAACAAATCTGCTTTCCCATACTTTTAAGTAAAACTTTTATACTGGAAAATAGACTATATTTCTATATATTAGAAACAAGAAAATACTAATTTGAATGTTCTGCATTCATTTCTAAATCTTTACTCCATTGCCAAATTGTATAATACTGTGATTATAAATAAACTTGCACAATCCTTGCAATTATTGAAGTCAGATTATATATATTTTGTCTCACACTATTCAATTTATTCTATTGACTTCAGATGTCAATGTCAAAATTCTGGAAGTTATTTTAACCAAGAAACAGTAGTGGGCACCGTGCATAAACAACTCATCTAACTTTTTAACAATAGTGATTATAAAATAAAGAAAAAAATTATATATCATTCCAACGATATTGCAACTATAGTATAATGTTACATATATCTTTAGCAACATTCAATTTAAACATCAGATTTTATCTTGACTTTCCAAATTATTATTTATATTTAATAAATTTCAATATGCTAATGATTTTCATGTTACATTAGTATAAATTCCACAATTAGCACAGGAAAACAAAATCCGCGCTTTATATTAGAAGAGAAATTTCTTTTCCACATTCAAAACATCTACATTGGCGATGTTTGGCGACGGGTACATTAACCCTAGACTAATTTAATTATAGCTATTATTACAGAAATTAGCAGATACTCAGGTTATTGTACACAAGAATTTCACTTTACTTGCACATTATAAACATCAGAGAAGATATAAACTCTAAATGAAGGCGTAATTAACATTATACTTACTAAGCAAAGTTCAGCGCCTGGACCAGGTTTCCAATTGTCTCTTCGGCAATTATTTACCCATATTTTTCTTCTTTCTTCATTTTTAGGAAATTTTACCAATGTATGACCTTTCCGTGAATGATTTGAACAATTAATAGCTGTACATCCGCCCATTTTACACAAAAAAAAACACAAAAAATTGTTGCACCGTAACTACACAGCCGCCATTAAATCTCCCACTTGGGAGCGCGAATGCCTGATGATTCAGCCTGGTATATAGGAGCCTTATGAGGAGAAAAGAACCTCCCACTAGCTCCACCCAAAGGACTATAGAAAGGCATTCTTTTTTATCATAGGAATTGAATGGTTTTCTAAACCCAGAATTGTTCATAGAAGTCAGAAAATTGCGGTGGATTCCTTAGTTTCTGGGGTTACTTTCAGGGAAATATTAGGCAGTTTTTTTGGTTTGGCTGATTAGAGGGCAAATAGATAATTTACCTTTATAAATCCGAGTTTATATATTTAAACTTCAGAAGATTTAAGATGAAGCGAATATATTTAACACAACAGAACGCAAGTTTAAGACTTGTAAATCTTTTAAAAAACAATACATCGATAATTAAAAATATTATTTATAGTTCATTATTAAAAACTTTTTATAAATGCATAGTTATCATATAATTAACAATTCATTCATGCATTACCTCATTATTTATTTTAATTAGAAGAGAAGATATTTTTTACAGTAATGTTTAAAAATTTGCTGTTGTCTTTTAAAAGATTTACAAGTCTTAAGATTGTGGTCTGTTGTGTTTTAAATATATTCGCTTCATCTTAAATCTTCTGAAGTTTAAATAGATAAACGCGGATTATAAAGGTAAATTGTCTATTTGCCCTCTATCAGCAAACCGAAAAAACTGCCTAATATTTCCCTGGAATTAACCGTAGAAACTAAGGCAATCCACCTTAGCAATTTTTTGAACTTCCAAATGTAAGCAAACATATAGTCCACTGCTGTTGCATTCCTCAGAAAACCATTCTAACTCCCCTACTCCCCGATGAAAATAATAGATTCGCCTCTCTCATAGGCTGCCGTTTTGGGATGTAGACGCTAGTCCTCTAAACCAGGCTGAATCACCAACTTTTCTCTCTTGGCGAGGGAGGGAAAGCGCTACCAATTTTGGCGCGTTTATCGCACACGCTGGCTGAATGTCTGCTGTTTTTTTAAAGATTTATTTTATAGACGCGCGGCATTCAGCGCACATAAACTTTTCGGATAATTTATTAATTCTCGAATAGTATATAGACGTTTTCACTTAAATAAAAATTTCGCGTATATTTTGTAAACATATTCAAAATAACTTATTCTTTAGATGTTTCAGTTTTGTTAGCAGACTAAAATAAATAAGATATGAATAAAAACTTTCAATAGTGTCAAATGGGGAAATAGTTAAAGCGTAGTAGAGTGTGCAAATAAATTTATCTTAATGACATTTTAACAAAAATTTCCATAAAAACACGTAAATTCATACTAAAAAAATAACTTAAGAATATGTTGTCATTTTAGTCTGAGGTATATGGAAATAATTCTGCAAGACTCTGAAGAAACACTTT